GGAGAGTAAGGCTTTTGTTGAAGAAATGGAAAACAATTCTTTATCAGTTAGTAGTATATTTGTTACTTATCCTCCACCACCTAATCTTCGCATGAATTAATTTATATATATATATATAAATATATATATAACATTAGACAAAAGAAAAATATGGATTATTACAAGCAGCAGTAAAAGCACATAGTGAATATACTCGAGATGCATCAAATGGAAAAGGTTGCGATCGTCATTTACTTGGTCTTAGGCTATTGCTAAAAGAAGGTGAATCTCATCCATTATTCCAACATCCTATTTTTGCAAAAAGTCAAGAATGGTTATTGAGTACAAGTGGTTTAACCACTGGCACTAAATTTAACGGTAAAGTCATATTTATAAAAAATCCAGCATTGAAATTTATTTGTGTTTGATGATATATTTTATCTAACATTTTATATATATACATAGGCACTGGGTTTGGTTGTGTATATCCAAATGGTTACGGAATTAATTATTTACCAGGTGAACATGTATTAAAATTTGGTATGGAATCTAAAAAATTATTGAAGAGTATGAATCACCAGATTTCGACAATGATAATGAACAACAAAACAAGGTTATATTAAACTTGATGCAAGAAGTATGTCTATGAAAAAATTATTTTTATTTTATTTTTATTTCTTTAATCAATTGTTTTTTATTTATTCTATTTTTCTCTTGTACCACATTATTTCTCAACACTTCAAGTTACAAGAACTTGGGCAACCACCACCAGAAATTCTTCAAGACTTTGCACCAGATTTATCATTCGATGAAAATGGATTACCTAATCTATCTAATGCAGATTTACCTTCCAATTGTAAACCAATGTAATCAATAAAGAAATTGTTATAAGTGGTGCGATGTTTGTTTTTTTTTTTGCCCTTTTTTGTCTTATTTGAACAATAATTCATTTTTTTATTTTACATTTCACAAAGTTAAAATGATTGTATATTGATGTTATTCCTATTCCTATTCTCGTTCAATAACTTGTTTGCATGTCATTTTTACTGCGCATTTATTCAGACTCAAATAGCAATTATTAAATTTTTTTTAAAAGTTGCAATTTTAAATCAATTTTTGAACAATATTGCTACATATTAATATATAATTTTTGAATATGACATTTAATAGCATTATTTTAATCTAAGATTGTTCAATTCGGTCAAGTATTTAGTGATATACAGAGATAAGCATCACTGCTGTCACATTTTTTGAAAAATATATTAAAGATAGATTTGTTTTTCATTGTATTTTATAAATTTTTTTTTTAAAAATTATGCAATAATAAATAATAAAAATTTATTTAATTTTCTCCTTTAAAAAAACTTCACAAATAATAAAAATTATCAAGTGCAAGCAATTTAATTTTGGTTTTACTATGCTAAAAAGCCATTAAATCGACAAATCATGGCTTCAGTCGCTGAGAGTTCCTTAAAAATCAAATGAGAAAGATAATAAAAGAATCAAGAAGTCAATGAAATGTAGAAAAATCTTGGATGCAGAAGTAGAAGCTTAGGTCTTCATGAATGTGGATAAACTGTAACAGGGTTGGATGTTGCTTTGAAGAGGAGGAAAGAACAGTCTTAATTTAATTGGAAATGTTGATTGAATTTGATTTATTTACTGAATTTTCTAGTGTCCCAGTAAGTGTGGAGAAAAACAATTTGTAAAAAATAATTACCAACGCTAACCTCTTGCATCAAATCTAAGGTTTCCTCTTAGCCGAAATTGCCAAAACACTTTGGGCAAAAATTAATTTTTTATAGGCCCAAACTATTTTTTGATGTTTATCCTTATAAAAAATATAGAGAAGCCCAAACTATTGTCAAAGCACTTTTTAAATAGTTTAGACAGGAATCCTTAATTGAACTCATAATTCAGTCAGTACAAGTCCTGTGTAGATGGCCTACAACAATGCATCTCAGATGTAAGCCTCGATGTCGCAAGCAATTCTCATTGTGTGCTTCCGTAACATACTTTAAAGGTATATCACGGACTCCATTTACATCCCTGTCAATTTAAAGTCTTTTGACTGTCCAAGTTGTTATGTTTTATGACTCCACAACATCCACAAGTTTTACTAGCATATTTCTCAATGCAGATGACCACCTTTCACCAAAGGATACTCACAGGATTTATGGATCAAATGGCTTTTAAATCAGTAATCTGGCCAGGTTGACATTTGTCTCACGATTTTAGATTAGATTTTTCTAAAACTGTTGTCATTTTTAACCATGTCTTTTGTGTGTGTGCGGGTAAATCTACGTGGTGGTTCTCACAACCATTTTGCTAATTTACAATGGCATTCATCCACAAGTTTATGTGGATTGGAACATAGATCGACAGAGCTTATATCATTTACACTTATTAGCTTTACCATGAATAGAATCCCTTTTGCTTTGGACTTTATCATGGTGATAGCATTAGCAATTTATTTTACTTGTATCATTACAGTGTGTTAAGAAAAAAATGGCGGTGACAAAAAATTGCATATCTCAACAATTACATAACATAATCAAATAAATTTAGATTCGTTTGAAAGTTTATCAAATTACCTTGTTAAATAAAAAAAATAGACATGATATGCTATTGCCAATTTTCTGTAAAGCTAATTCATATCTTTTTTTTAAAACTTTGCAAAATTTTTGTCTCTGAAATTTTAACACATAAATTTTTAATAATAAGCCTGACACAAAAATATACATAATAATCATACAAAAAATTATACCGGTGTGTAATGAAAGTTCTGGAGATTATATATATAAACTTTCATACTTCCAGATTTTCTAGAATTTTGTCAATTGGAAATAAAAGGAATTTGATTATTTTGAAAAAAACAATTCAATGTGTAAATTTCTTTAATAATTGCTCTAAAGCCTACATAATAACATGCTTCAAAAATTTCATATGTTATAATCTAAGATCCTCCGATTCTCTGTTATAATTTTCATCATATAATTTTGGCTACTTTTCATTAAAAACAATATTTTTACCAACCGCCGTTTTTTTCTTAACACCCTGTATATACAAAAAAAAAGAATCTATATATTTACAAGGGATAAATCGTCAATATACAATAGTATTCACATAGATAAAACTTACAATAAAAAATATTTGCATAAAAAATATGAAAAAACCATTAAAAAAGTGAGATAAAAAAATATTACAAGAAAATTCGAATCTATTAATCGACTACATCTAATAAATATATTACTTACTATACGCAAATCCATCTCATCCGTGAAAATAATATCGTATATCGATGTTTTGTCTGTATCTATTGCGCCAGGCGTGAATCCATCTTTTGAATATCCCACTACAACATCTATTGCATCTCTTGCTTGTAGGTAGAGTGGTCTTGTACATTTTTATAAGAAATGACCAAAATAATTTTTGAGAATAATATCGCGTTTTATTTCACTTTGAAGGTTAATAAAATAAAACCTTGCAAATAAGTTTTATAAATACTTATTTTAAGGTTTTCTCTTCATTTCAGTACCAAAAAACCAACATTTGTGATGTAGGTTGCCAAGAAAACATTTTTAAAAAATAATAACTTCTGCGAATGAGTGGGTAAAAACACAAACGATATATGTTTTTATTAATATTATGATTAAATATTCACAATATTCATAATTACTTGTTTTTTTAATAGAATTACAACCAAGTCAAGCATATAAATGGTAATGTAGTGTTAAATATTAATACATAGTTCACTCTCTATTATAGACAGTGATGGGACATATAAATTCTCAGTTTGTTATAGAGCAAGATCCGTTATTATTATTATTAATAATTCCGTTCGTGCTAAAAACAAATTCTGCGTGAATGTCATGCATTAAAAAAACACTACTACTATATTCTGCGTAATTTCTGTCATAATATCTATGCATTCAGAAAGAGTAGTTATTAGTTATTAATACCATTATTTCTTATTTAAAAAATATTACAAAATAGAAATGCTAAATATTTAAACTATACTACCATTAAAATAAAGCATATTTAAACTTCGTCGATTATCATCATCTAAAAATTATATTTAGAAAAACTCTGTTCTGCACTACAGGAAGAAATTGGTAACCACATATATCCAAATGCTATTTGAAATACAGCAAAAGGGGGTAAATTTTCGGCCATATTTGACCAGTGTTCACCTAATGCAACTTCTATATTAAGCGTAGACCCACAATGAATTGCCCATTCATTTTCTTTAGATTCAGAAGAAGAAAGAGAGGCATCAAGCGTTTGTTGTTGTTTATTTTCATACAGATTTTCCTTGGCTTTATGTGTTTTGCTGGACATCAATCGTTGACTTTCGTACCCAAATTAACAGAATGTCACAAAAATTACAAAATAAACAATGCGGAATTCATCAGGATTTTCTTCTACTCTAGTATTGATTGTGATTGTTGTCCTTGTACCTTTTCTTATTCATTATAAAAAACCTAATCTTATTTTTATATTATTTGCAGTATTCTGCGGTAGATTATTATTATAGTAATTTCCATTTTTATTCATGATTTCTGCGCTATGCAGAAAATCATTGTCCCTGCATCGGCGTAATTTTAATAAATGATCAATACAATGTAAAAAACATTGACTAATATGGTGAATTAAACAATGAATGGAAGTAATTTCAATATATAATTATAATAAAAATAACATTATAAAATCATATGATAATGATTCTCCCATTATTATGACGATCTCATTATACCAACTTTTTTTGCTTGTCGTTATAACAGGAGTGACTTGTATATTATATATAAAATCAGAGTTCTATAAAACATTCAAAATGGAACGATTATGGAATTACAATGCTTTATAGTATTATCTTAGGTTTAGACATCATCATTCATTGTAAAGGACTTCTACATCATGGTCTTCACAGTGGTAATCTTTTACATTTTTCCATTTATGATAATTGTAGATTTAAGGTTATTAGGTTTAGTTGATTGAGAATTATTAAATAAAAATGGTATATAATATGAAGAGCACTGTCATATGTTGCACCATAGGTTTTAAATGGAAACCTTATATATACACAAAAATCTGACATCCATACGTAACTTTGGGATTTTACTGTCATAGATATCATCAACAGGTCAACGACCATTCAAAGATCAGTCACATGATCATGCTCTTGCAATCAGATCCGAGGCCTAATTTTTCGGATAATACTCCCAAAATGTTATATTGGGAATGCACAAATGGTGATCCTGGAAAAAAGACTAACAGCAGAATGATGATGAAATTCTGAACCTAATTATTCTGAAGAACAGCTTGGATAAATTAAGGATGATGAGGATAATATTTGAACAATTACAACAACTGTTCATCCAAATGCAAGCAGATTATTGAGTTTTACAATCTTCCTCGGCCTGTTAATTCACAAATCATTGGTAATTGTTATTTAATTACTTGTTTAATATTAAACTTAATATTAATGATATTTCTATTTATCAATGTTTTATAGATTCTAATGAACTTGATTATATAAGATGAATAAATTTTACTCGTCTGGTCATCGGAATTTATTAGTCTTTTTATTATCAATATAAGAAAGTATCATTACATGGTGAATGAATAAACGTCACTCATTATTCTTGTTATTCTTTTTGTTATTATTTATTTATTATTTTATTATAAAAAAAATGCAAATTTTGGATGTAATATTATTTAATAACAAATTTTTTTCTAAATAATATCTTATATGTATGTTATTATCAACTAGAAAGGAAAACAGCATTCACTCACTGTCATACTGCCATGTTAATTGTGATGATGATGATGATGATGATGATGATGATGAATTAATTTCATATTAGATG